AATTTTGTTTTGTCCAAAGAAATTATTTTTTGCTATTCTTGATTCTTGCTGGAGAGTTTTACTAATATTTTGATTATTCTTTCCTGTCTGCCTCTTTAAAGAGCTCCTCATTTCCTTGGTTAAATATTGTTTGCTTTTCACATGTTATTTTCCTTGTCACTACCACAGCTCTGCAGCTGTCTCCTTGCACACTGACCACACCTCAAGAGCAAACAGAAGGCTTTAGCCTACCTATTATTCTGGTTCTGTTTTCTGAGAATCAGGGAGGACATGTGTAACTCATTAGTTCCAGAGAAGGCCTACCTTTACCAGCAAACAGAACATACCGTAAGCCACTGAAATTAAGTCAGTATGGCTCCTGCACAAATCTTGACAAATAGACCATTGCAACAATAGAGAATCAAATTTACAGTAAAGATAATATTGTAGCTCAGTTGAGGAAAGGATAATTTAATGATTGATTATAATAATATAACTGGCTGGCCCCCTGGAATTAAACTGCTAGAATACCAGAAGGTGGGAGAAGGAAGGAGGGACCAAAAGAAATGCAAGTTTATATTGAAAGGACTGAAGACTTAGATGTAAATTCAAGGACCAAAAATAACCTCTGACTTTCTAAGCAAGTGAGAAGCTAAAGGAAAGATATACTGAAATGTATGGAATTTTTAAATTTTTATTGCTAACTACACATATTTGCTATGAAAACCTTTAAATTGACAAGCAGTTGGTAAGTAGTCCAATAGAAAAATAAGCCAAGCATCTAGATATGTAACTCATTGAAGAGCAAATCTGTTGGGCAAAATATACATGAAAAGGTATTTGAACTCATTGGTTGTCAAAAAAGTAAAATAACAATGAACTACCACTTCTTCAGTTTTTTTGAGACAAGGTCTCACCATGTAGTTCAGACTGGCCTTCAGCTCCCTGTGTAGTCCAAGCTGTCCTCGAACTCAGGGCAGTCCTCCTGCCTCAGCCTCCCAAGTGCTGGGATTACAGGTGTGTGCCACCAAGCCCAGCTTAGCACTGTCATTTCTTAAACATTTAAAAGAATTATAACGTTTACTACCAGAGAAGAAACTAGTAAAGTCCTCTGTTGCTGGCAGAAATACAAATTTTTTCAGCCTTTTTGGAAAGCCATCTTGGCATTATTTTTTAAAAACCTGGCAGTCCATATATTGATTAGTCCTATTCCAGGCAATTTATCCCAAAGAACTATAAACATGAATATATCCTTATACATGTGCACTGATACACACCGCATTGCAGCATTGCTTTTGCGGCAAAAAATAACAATGAACAAAGCAGGAGAATATTTAAATAAATCATCATTCACAAATTGTTTTACACAGTAGACACAGTCCTTAAAAAGAAGGAAATAATGTTAAACTAGTTTACTTGGATTTTTTTCAGGAGATTGAATAAGTGAGAAATGAATATAAAGTATATATATAATAATCAGAAAGCCTCTTTGTATCTTCACATGTTGAGTATGTTTATGTATAATTGTGTTAACCTGAAGAACAATATGGGAAATACTTGGTTGCTAAGGTGGACTAACTGACAAAGAGTATGAGAGGGCAGGAGACACACGTGAAAAAAAGATCCTACTCTTAAAACAGGATATAAAAAATGTAAAAATAAAATAAAAGCAGGATATGTGATATGCCATGTATACCTTCATGCACAATATGCATGCTTGTGTATTTACAAAGACTTAATAAAATAAGGAACTTCAGCACAGCAAATAGTAAGTACAAAATGATCAAATCTTTTGAAACGCTTCTAAGAATTTTTTAAAATACTGAATATGTGGGTACAGCTGTACTTAAAAGTCGTATCAATTCTCCTAGCCTCTTTATAAAATCTTTAAGTACTTTTCCAAAAGTATGTCTTAGTCAACACATTTTCATTTGGTAGATAACAAGATCCAAATGAGATGGATGTTTCATCATTTATTATTATAACTTTTTTTTTTTTTTTTTTTTTTTTGAGACAGGGTCTTGCT